GATCCAAAATGGCTACGTCAAGATATTTGGAGGAAAAACTCCTAGAGAGACTTCAGGGGTGGAAGCAAAGGACATTGTCGTGGGCCGCGAAGGAAACTTTGATTAAATCCATAGCGTTGGCTCTTCCCCTTCATGTTATGTCCTGTTTCCGTCTTCCCCTAGCTCTTTGTTGTCTTTTAGATAGACATGTGGCCCGCTTTTGGTGCGGTGCTAAGGAGGGTAATCCCAAGATTAGATGGGTGTCCTGGCGAAACATGTGCAGGAGTAAGCATGATGGGGGGATGGGATTTTGCTAGTTTGAACATTTCAACCAAGCTCTTTTGGCTAAGATAGGCTGGCGTATTCTCAATGAACCTCAATCACTTATTTCCCAGGTTTATAAAGGCAAGTATTTCCCTCAAGGGTCTTTCCTGACCGCGACTGCTAGGTCTCGTCCCTCTTGGAGGTGGCAGAGTATCCTTCATGGGCGTCGGTTATTGGAGATGGGTTTAAGATGGCAGGTCGGTAATGTCCAATCGGTCTCCCTCCTTCATTCTAACTGGATTCCTAGGTACCAACTAGATCCCTCATGCTATAATCCGCGGATCTTGCCTGAGGGGGGTGATCCCTTGGTGGCGGAGGTTATTTGTGAGGGGGGAGGGAGGTGGTCTGATGAGAAGCTCAGTCAATGGTTTGACCCGCCCACCTGTAGGGCTATTAAAGCTATTCCTCTCCCGCGATGGGATGTGCCTGATAAGCTTATCTGGCATTTTACGGCCGACGGGGTTTTCTCGGTAAAGTCGGCTTACCATTTGGCTGTCAATTTGGACAAGAGGAGGGGTGGGTGGCAATCCTCGGTTAGCTGGATGGATAAGCCTAGTTAGATTAGAGTGTGGGAGGCGAAGATCCCTCCGAAGTTGAAGGTTTTTGTTTGACAAATTCTTAATCGGGCTCTTCCGACTACAGAGGCGCTTATTGAGAAAAAGGTCCAGGTGCTACCTTGATGTCCAATTTGTTGGGATGGCCTGGAGACGATGGAACACCTGTTTCTTTATTGTCCGGTTGCGCGGGCTCTCTGGGACTATTCAGGGCTGGAATACTTGGGGGAGGGTTTGCCTCGGCACACTTTTCCTTTGTTTCTCAAACGTCTGTTGGCGCTGATTCATCAACCGTCGGTGGTTATGGCTGTTGTTGCCATCCTTTGGAGGATCTGGCGATCTCGGAATTGGGTAGTCTTTGAAGGCAAACAATTTGGGATCCCGGCGCTCATGTGACAATTTAACCAACAGTATTAGGAATGGGTGGGTCTACCAGCGGACCAGGCGTCTAGGGTGACAATCCCGATGATGCAACCTACAGCGCAAGTGGGTGATTCCCATTTGGTTTTCATGTGGGACGAGGCTACTAAGGAGGGGCTGCATTCGGCTGGTGGGATGGTTCTTTTTGACCCAGTGCGGAAACTCCTTCTGGCTAGAGGGGTTCAGTTTTCTCAAATGGATGATCCTGTAGTGGTGGAATTGCTTGTGCTCAGGGAAGCTATTATTTGGTATGTGGAGCAAGGCTTGTCGGAGGTCCGGTTTGAGGGCGATGCGAAGGTGATTATTGACAAAATTAATCAAGCCAACACAAGACATAGCCGGTTGGGTGTTGTTCTGGAAGAGATTGGTCATTATTTTCGTACTCAGCCTGACTTTAGTGTGCATTTTGTAGGTCGGGAGAACAATAGGGTAGCTCATTTGGTAGCTAGGAAAGCCCTTTCTTTGTATCCGACTATGAGTCGTTTCTTTGATTTCCAGGCCTGGCTGGTTTCCAGGGTGTAACTGTCTATTTTTTTTTTTATCAATACATGATATCTTTTGACAAAAAAAACTTAAAATGCCTTTTAGTTCTGTCTCCAACCTTATATGCATCAAGTTAGGTAATGAGGAGAACTCCAGGTGGCTAAGGGGTTTCCCAACATTCAATCATGTTTGTGAGTTTGGCATGTATAGCTGGGAAACTCCTTGGCCATTTGGATGTTTTTCTCATTACACGTGACACATATACAGTCTGTGTTCTGGAAAGTAGCATTCAGGGTGTTTGATGTGCTTAGGCTTTTTTTTTTCATAGCAAAACTTTCTCATTGTAAGAAGTTATTATTTGTACAGGAGGTTGAGGATGTGGAAGTTGCTTCAAGATCCCCTTTCCCAGGCTTGAAGTTAGAGCCGAGACAGACAAATGGTAACAAATGCAAGCAGTACAGGGCCAGTTTAGGAACGAGATAGAGCACTCTAAGCTGATTCTGAACACCAGTCTCTACATTCATCCGTAAGTAAAACGGTGATTTCTTACAGCAATGACTTTAAGCTGTAAGCTAAATATAGGCCAGATTTAGTCTCCATGTTTTTCTTCGAGGAAGATTTAGTTTCCATGTTTACATATCATATGTAACTAGTTAATTCCTTATTAAGTTCATAAAATGAGGTGGATAAATATAGAAGTTCCCGCATAGAAAAGAACTCTAATTGATATCTCACGGTTTTTTCCTAATACACGAGGTTAAACACCCCTCTGGCACATCTATTAATACGGCCAAACATCTTGGCCAAAACTCATTCAACTACAAGTAGCGCAAAGGCCCTTTTCTCAACATTGTCGTGTCTGTAACATCATGGGGAAGGAAGGGTAAGGACTGCAATCCGCTAATATGTTTTCTTTAACTTTTAGTCGGCTATTTCGTTGTATTTGTTCTTATCTTCCAATCTCTCGTTGCTTTTGTGTACAATTATATTAGGGAGTCTCTCTTTGCTTTTTTGAACAATTATATTCGGGAGAATAACAAGATGACGAGCGTCCAGTCTAGTGTACGCCTAACGCGTTCTGCAGCCAAGTCTATGGTTCATCCAGGAGCTTTGTCCATTGTTTCTTTCTACAAAACGTATGTTGAATTGATTGTTCATTATTATAGGAATTGGAGAACTATGTATCTCCTGCAAAGAAGACAAGAGTGCAAGACGTCCCCCCACCTACGCCCGAATCGAACGTGATTGTTCTTGATGCTGAACCAGGGGTGGACCATTATGAGCTAGGTGTGCAAAAACTACCCATCCTGCCTAAACAAAAATTGCCAATGAAGGTATGTAATCCTAGCGATGTACATATGCTTCCTTTTTGCCCAATATTTTCTTTTTTTTCTTTTTTTCTTTTTCAGCCACTTGACTTCTACTTTTCTTTAATTAATTATATATTTTCATTTAAAAATTAGAACCTAAAACTCAAGAAAAACTCTTCTTATTTCCTCTATTTGTTCATTTTTCATGATTGCAGGGTACCACAAGGTTTGAGCTCCCTACAGCCGTCAACTACAGTGACAAAGAAGTGAGTTTGGCTCACTATATATTTGCAGAAGACCTTCCTCGTGATGAAGCTTTGGTTGAAACAATGATGAAATCATATAATAGATAGACATTATATTTCTACAATGTTTTACCGATTTATAATTATTGGTGTTTTATTTCTATTGTGTTTTAGGTAATTACATCGTTAGCTTGCCACTTGACCTTGGAAGAAGTTAGAAGAGATACTGGTCGTGGAAGAGGAGTGTGCTTTCTGCCTACGGAATTGCAGATAGTTGGTGCTTTTGCTTTGTAATTCTAATTCAGTTTACACAGGGTTGGTTGTTTTTTAAGTAAGATTAGTGGTCAATCATTTAACTTCATTTTACTACCAGGATATGGTCGTTAATTATGGCATGATATCTGCAAAGGCATTAGAGTTTTATGATACAAAATTCCTATCAAAAGCTCATAACTGTAGAAAGGTTATGACTTCTCCACAATTCTTCCTTCTCATTTATGCTTATTTAGTAGCGGTTTTCACAACATATGTGCGGGTGAATTATGTCCGCCCTACTGCTTAATTTCTTGAATGAATTATGTCGGAAAACTAATTAGTTGATTGAATCGTTTTCTCGTACCTGTGAAGGTTTATCTGCCCATGAAAGATATGATCAATGATGAAGGCATCCACTGGTACTTAGCTATGATTTTGATGGACGAGAAACAAGTACACATTCTGGATTCATGTCCATCAAAAGAGCGCCACACAATTCGTAGGAATGCAGTTCACACAATGGTATAGTTAAAATTTGTGCCATTGAATTCGTACTTCATACACGTGTTTTTAATTGAATTATGTGGCATTATATTTTTCAACCAAATTTTGTAATTCACTGGTTGCTTTTTGAACTTTGCAGATTGAATTCCGAAACACTTGTTCGATGCCTTACGCAAGAAAGTTCAATCAACATGTTCACCACCAAAGATTAAGGAGTTTTCATTGACTACTCCTGAAGTTCCTAAACAACGACACAAGTAAGAATATATATTTGGTCATAATTTCACTAGAAAAATAAAATATTCGTGTCTTACGTAATGCATCTTTCTAAACAGAAATGATAGTGGGATCTGGGTTTGTGTGTGGATGATGGGATCAACATGGGATGATGACTATTATATTTGGGTAAGAAATCACCTACTACCTAGCCCCATTTATTTCTACGAGCACATTAAAAAAACTATGTCTACATATTGTATTAATACCTTATATTTTGTGTCCTTACAGCCATGCAATCATTTGAGAAGAATGCAGGTGACATTGTACCTCGTTAAAGAGCCTTCAGGGTGGAGTGGATCGACTAAGGTTAAACAAGTTCTCGACTCCACTTGTAGAGAACTTGGTTAGGGCATCTGATTTGTACCACTTGAGTAGTTGCATGATGCATAGTGTGGATTACCCTCTCTTCGAGGCGTTTATTGAGAGGTGACAGCCGGATACCAACACGTTTCACATGCCGTTCAGGGAGATGATGATCACTCTTCACGATGTTTCATTCCTGCTCCAGATTCCAGTGGATGGAGAGTTACTTGTTTGCACCAGCTAAGGGTGATCCGTCGTTTGTGAGTGGGATTGTTGATCTTCTTGGGATTCCAGATAAGAATGTAGTGGCAGCGCGTGGCATCCGTTGGTATGAAAGTGGTGGGATGTTGGTAGATGAGGCCATGGCACGTCTACATGCTAGGGAGGATGGGGATGCTGAGGCACGATGTTATTTAATGTGTTTGATAGGGTCCACGCTTTTTGTGGACAAGAGTTCTGATCGTGTTCGTGGATGGTTGTACTCTTACTTCAGAGATTTGAAGATGGTTAGTAAGTATGCATGGGGTGCTGTTGCGCTTGCCTGGATGTATAGGCAGCTTGGGAGATCTAGTCGAGCAGGATCTAAAGGATTTTCTGGGTGCTTGACCTTGTTACAGGCTTGGATCTATGAGTATTTTCCATCGCTACGCATTAACAGAGCTGCACCACAGACCGTGACATAGGGAGACCCATTGGCTAGGAGGTGGGAGGGTCCCGTTCATGGAGGGGGGCCTAGTGAGGTTCCACGACGTTTGGATCATTATCGTTGACTGTTGGACGGCTTTACAGCGGACCACGTGGACTGGCTTCCTTTTGGTTCCCACCCTGGTCGTGCGGTACCTAGATCTTTGTATCGGGGGGTGATACGTATCTATGACGTGGCTGAGGCCTACGATCCCTCACGCACTCTCCGTCAGTTTGGGTATAGACAGGTGATCCCTGATCCTCCTATTCGACCATCTCGTGTCAGTCGACCTGCTGTAGGGACCTATAAGGTCGTTTTTGGGGCCGACCTCGATAAACTTTGGAGGTCTCGCGGTCAGCTGATCAATTTTGATGCCTACTCTACACCTTTCGACGACACAGGATCCGTTGACCCAGAGTACCTTAAGTGGTACACTTTGCGCACTCACCCATTCATTGTCCCCCCAGAGATGCTGAGCAGCAGAAGGTGACGTTGTTGACGTATGAGATGGTTAGTTTCTATGTTTTTCCTCTATTGGTAAAATTCTTCTTTTACTGACACCTTTTCACTACTGTGGTATGATATGCTAACACTAAATTTTATTTCTTGGACATTGCAGCTAGCATGTCAAATTATTGATGGTATTGATCCTTTGCTTCGTGCTTCTGATGAGGATCTTGACAGGTTGGGTCCTTATGGTGACATGATTCGACGAGTTCGTGACAAGTACATCGTTTTTCGCCAGCAGAGACCATACCGTCCACTTACCTTGTAGTTGTTATATGTTGAACATTGTTGTTTGATGTTTGGATGTTGGAACTCTTGTTTGTTTAGGTTTAGGTGTTGGATATTTGTCAATTGATGTCCGGATGTTGGATGTTTGCTATTTTTATATTTGGATGTTGGATGTTTCATATTTGAGGTTTGGATGTTAGATCTTTGATATTTGTGTTTTTTAGTAAATTTGCACATGTTACTTGATTAATTTAACCTAAATCTACATATTTTCTAACACAAAACATACACTACTTGATTAATTCCTCTTCATGTGCCACACACATAGTAAATGAGCTGAAGATGGAAAGATTTGTCACAATGAGACACCCAAACCTCCCTCCTTATCGGTAACAAACGCATCCGGTGTTCGATCACCAAGCAGATGCTTCAATTGCATCAAAACCCAAGCATATGTCTCCTTCGTCTCATCCGACACCAATGCAAACCCAATATTGAAGTTCTTCTTCACCGGACTAACACCAATCAACTGAACTAGTGGTTGCTTATACTTGTTGGTTTTGTAAGTTGAGTCTATCAAAATGACGAAATACCATGCGCTCAACATCCGAATAGACTCTGGATGGCAAAGGAAGAGTCTAGAAACACGACGCTCATCATCAAACTCGCACTCAACAAAGTAATCGAGACGTTGAGCTTCTATCAATGTCCACCGCATAGGTTTCATGCCATCCAATCTCTCATGCCTAATCTTTTCTGTCTCGTTATAAATCTGCTTCATATGGTGATGAGCATCGTACTTCCAAATCATAAAACTCCTAATATCTATTGCCTGAGTATGTGTTGCTTCCAACTCCTTAATGTCTATTTTTCTCTCTTTCGAAAGAGAATTCCTTTCCCTGCTTCCTTCAGAATAAACCTCCAATTTTTGATTGTGAAATCCTCTCGACTTACCCGGATTATCATTGTCCTTAACACCAAAAATTCTCCACTCACACTTGCCATCTACCAATGAACAACACACTTCCACTCTGAAACGACAATCAGACTTACCTATTTTAGATTTGCTCCGTGTTGTTTTTGCCAAATCAGGAGTATATGATTTGTTCCTATAGCCATGGTTGCAATCCATATAGTACCGCGGATAGGCTTCTGATGGGTGATTTTGCTTGACTGATCCCACAATCAAGAAAAACCTATTTCTCATGGCAATCTCCTTTGCAGCCGCACAAGCATCATCATGGTATCATAAACCACATTGTTTATGAAAAATGATGTGTAATCAACATTGTCACCCTTATCATTTCCAAAACCTCCCTACAAAAAATACACGGTATAAATATTTATGTTAGTCTTGAAACAATTATGTTGCAATAATTTAACTATTAAACAACAAAGAAATAAGGTATTTGTCGAATCACTCATAATAAACTTGTTATTTGATGATGGTAGCAAAAGAGGCTTCTACACTTTGTCTTCCCTCCTACAAGCACAACAAAAAACAAATTTTAATGAACATATAATATATATTTCAAGTGAATTTCATCAAAATTTGTCTAACAATTCACAAAAATCCATCTAAAAAAAATCACAAAAACCGGCCCCAAGCATGTGAAAAACATGATTCGACCATCGACAAGACAGAAAACCAAAAAGATACGCCAATGGTTCAAACGTGCTGCGCAAATGCCTATACCAGTCGGCGAGCATGTTTTTTACGGGATTGAGCCATATGCCAAGCAGGTTGTCTACCCGCCTCGTCCATGGAAATCTATGTAATCGAAAGGGTTAGATGGCGGAACGGGCAGATCGTTTACCCGCCTCTCTATCAAGGCAGACATAAAGTTTACCCACCTGTCCACGGACACGGGCATATTGTTTACCCGCCTGTCTGATGGATGAAGCAAGTAAATTACATGCTTAGCGGGAGGAACGGACATGCTGCCTACCCGTTTCCTCTATGGAGACACGTGTTTTCAACCTGCCTCTCCGGCGGCGCGCACATAATATCAACCCGTTTGTTCTCATAAAACCAGAAAAAAAAGAAGAATAATGCAGCATACCTTGACTGCCGAGTGTGCCTTTGGCTCCGATGGTCTCGCCGGATTTAAATAAAAATCACCAATAAAGAAGAGAGTAGTTGAGAATTGTTGTGGTGTGGGGTTTGATTAGTTTTTTGTTTGATGTTTCCACTCTTTGTAGAGACAAAGAGTGGAAAAGTATATGAGACCATTGTGTCCTACAATATATGGGTTTTAAACCCAAAAACCAACCCATGGGCATTTTGGTCATTTTATATATTTTAGAGCTATAAATTTAAATAATTAGGGCGACAAACAGAAAACGTAAGTGTAAGTGGTATAAGATCCAATATCAAATTTCAACCATATACGCATCCGTTCATAAACCACAAACAATAAATTAAGACCTTGATCGCCACCCGAAAAGAAAATACGATGCTATCAAATATCAATTACCAGATATAATGAGCTAAAGCGCCATAGCGAGGATCGATCGGAGTTCTTATCTTCTTGCGCAGAAAATACAAGGCTGCCGGAAAACATACAAGCAGTTGCCAGCAGACGCGCCGTCTTGTGTCCTCCAGATTGGTAGCATCCAGCGCGTGAGACTCCGTCGAGAGCGCGGTACTGATCGCGATGAGGCGGAGCGCGAGGACGATAGTCGCCGACGCGAACCCAAAGAGCGGAGACGGCCACGAACAACACCTAAGATCAATGGTCAGGGGGTAACGCGGGTAACGACGAGAGAGATAATCATTAAAAGCGTTATAGCGAGGGTCGACCGGAGTTGGCGGAGGAGATCTTCTCTTCTTGTGAAGAAAATACAAGGCTGCCGGAAAACATACAAGCAGTTGCCAGTAGACGCGCCGCCTCGTGTCCTCCAAAACGGTAGCATCCAGCGCGTGGCCGGCGATGTAAGACTCCGACGAGAGCGCGTTACTGATCACGATGAGGCGGAGCGTGAGGAATATACACGCGGACGTGAACACAAAGAGCGGAGACGGCCCCAGCCAACAGCTCCAATTCATGATAAGAAATTTGCTCGATCAGCTGCTAGGGTTTGACATTTAGAAGTACACGCGAAATTCTTACTTATACTCACAGGAACGACTTTGTTTATATATATAAAACTATTTTTTCTATTAATTTTTAAGAGATTCATATCATTTTTCTTTTGGAAAACGGAGAATTTAAGTGTTTTACTTTTTGTTGACACCTAAAATTAATTTGGTCGGAATTAAATGCCGCATTAATTAGTCTCGGTATTTAATTTGATACCGCGGGTAAAAAAACGGTGTCGTTTGGAATCGAGCGGTGTCGCGGAGAGTTAAAACGATACCGCGAAACAGAAAATCGGTACCGCAAGGAAGCTCAGCGGTACCGCGACACAGAAAACGACACCGCCGGAAAATAAGAACGCGCGTTTTGGTATTGGTGTGGGAAAGGGAGTTTATTATTATTATTATTATTATTATTATTATTATTATTATTATTGTTATTCCTTGTGGGAAGGGGAGAAGCGGTACCGCATGGAGACAAGGGGCACCGCGGAGAGTTAAAACGGTACCGCGAAACAGAAAACCGGTGCCGCGAGGAAGCTCAGCGGTACCGCGGAACTGGAGAGGGGCCCCACGTTCTAGTGTAGGTGTTGAGGAAGGAGTTTTGTTTATAATTAATTAATATTTTTATTCCTTGTTGGAAGGGGAAAATTGGTACCGCATGGAGACAAGCGGCACCGCGGAGAGTTAAAACGGTACCGCGGATTTAAAAACGGTGCCGCGAGAGCCTGGTAAGCGGTACCGATTAATTGAAAATCATATCCGGCAAGTGACCAAAATTCACCCGGCCCAATGCGAGCGCCGACTGCGGCGGTTCCATGGATTAATATTTTGGCTATATCGGCGGTGTCGTTTAGTTCAAAACGGTACCGCGAGTAAGCTCAACGGTACCGCGGATTAGCAAACGACAGTGTTTAAATAAAAAACAATGTCGCAAAAGGGAAAAACAAACGGAGTTGTTGTGACGTTAGTGATGTCGTTGGCCATAGCTAGTGATGGACGGATTAATTAATTAATATTTTAATGGCTGTTTAGGACGGTGTCGTTTAGTTGAAAACGATGCCGCAAGAGGAAAGAAACGACACCGCAGATTTGAAAACGATGTCGCGTGTATAATCAAGCAGTGTTGTTTAGCTAAAAACGACACCGTTTAAGGCATCGACAACGCCGCAGTATTACTAAGC